AAAATATACTTTTCGGATAGAATTATGTAAATAAAACAATGTTATGATGTATGTGCGACCCAACCCGATATTAAATAATCATATTATTTATGACTCAACAGAGATTTGTTTTCCTTAGATTTATTACGAATATATTAGACAACTTCAGATGTACACATTTTCTACCAAAAAAAATATTTTAGCTTATTTTATGTTCTAACCAAATTTAAAATAAAAGTACCTATGTAAAAATAGGCGTTATGATCTTACTAGCGATTCACCCTCGCTTCGCTCGGGTTCGCCTCTAGAAAGACTAAAACAAATCTATCCCACGGGAACCGTGCATTTTTCTAGGATTAAAAGTTATATAATTAATAATATTATAAAATATTTCAAGCTATAATGTATATCTGTGCTAAATTTCATCCAGAACCGTTCAGCCGTTCTGGCGTGATTGCGTAAGAAATAGCCAAACATCTAAACACTCATCTAAACGTTCACATTGATAATATTAGTAAGATTTTAATTGATGAAAATTTTAAATACATACTTTAATAGTATATGTATTTCAAGTATACAATTTTATAAGGTTTATATTTTTCAGATGCAGCGTTTTATGGACCAAGTCTATCATTCGAAAGTAAATTTGAGTGGATTCCAAATTTTCTACGTTACTCGTGGAACTGTTCTTTCAGTATGATCTTTGGAATTACTAAAACACAAAAGAGCTTTATGGAATTTCCCATCACCAATATAAATACGTTTTAAGCTTCTAAAATTTATCTTCGACGAAATATAATACAAGCTTTTAATGTAAATTCATTGGCAAAACTCCTGGTCCTCCTCCTCTATGCTTAGTCATGCTCAAACACGCTAGATTCAGCGGCATAGAGTGTTTTGTCAGTTAATCAGTCAATTTTAGTTTCATTAATAACTAAATTAAATTTAAATTTGTGGTGGTAGCCATCTTGGATTTGTAATTTATCATAGTCTATAGTATTTTACTAGTCAAGCCCTTTCATTTGATACCCATATTGAGGGAGTTGTGAAAAAATATGTAATCCGCCATTTTGTGGCGGCGGCCATCTTGGACCGATTTTCATCAAACATAGCTCTCACAGAACACTCTCGACTATTTCACCTTTCAAATAAAATAAATGGGAGTTACGATGCCATACACATACACACGTCAAACTTATAACATCCCGTTGATTTTGCGTCGGGGGTTAAAAGGATACAATAAATAACTATAATTACGTTCATTTAATTTTATTACATGTATACATCAAAAATTTACTATGAAAACAAGTAATTCTAATTTATTACAGATGCTGTCAACTATAATTACGTACGAGTTGGTCATTTTGCAGTTACCTCATGGTCAAACTTTAATCTAAATCACTTTTTTTGGACACTCAGTCTGTCAGCCAGACAGACAGTCCAGTCGAAAAATATATAGATGGTTTCCTTTACTACAAAAGGTCAAAGAGAGCTAGAACTGCCTACTACCATGTATGTATGTAATTTGGAAAAAAACTATATATAAAGACGTTTAAATATTTTTTTAAATGATCTTGCCTTTATCAATAAATTTAATGCCTTTACGAGAATTATTTTATTGTTAGTGTTTTTTCAAATTAAAGTTAGAGAAACCATTGTATTAGTTACTTAGACTATATTAGATAAATATAATTTAAAAATATTTTGAACTTTCATTTTTTTTACTTTACTGCTTTTAATAACGGATAATATATGAAATTATCAAAAATCTTTAAGATTCATTTATAATGATTTTTTCTTTTTGTAAATTTGTTAGGTATGAGCATAGATCGTAAAGTATTTTTCCCTCCTCGCATTTTTTCCTAGATAATCATATTATTGATTTTGAAATATTTCATTTTAATAGCAAGTGTTAAACGTATATTATATGTTTGTATATATATGTATATTAAATTGTACATATTATGTCTATTTTGTTAAACAAAATCTCGAATGTTTTATTCTTATGACGGGGTTTCCTTTGCCTTCTCAAGATATAATAAGTATCAAATTACATATCAAACTGTTTTTAGGGTTCCGTACCCAAAAGGGTAAAACGGGATCCTATTACTGAGACTCCGTTGTCCGTCCGTCTGTCTATCTATCCGTCTGTCACCAGGCTGTATCTCATGAACCGTGATAGTTAGACAATTGAAATTTTCAAAGATAATTTATTTCTATTCCCGCTATAACAACAAATACAAAAAAAAATTAAATAAATATTTAAGGGGGCTCCCATACAACAAACGTGTTTTTTTTTGCTTGTTTTTGTTCGATGTTGATAACGGCAACAGGTACGCGTGAAATATTCACAAGATAATTAGTTATATATTCACTTTAAAAATAAATAATTAAATTATATTTTGATTTAAGGGGGGATCCCATAGAACAAACGTGATTTTTTTTGTTTTGCTATCCAATAACTTTCCAGTATTTTAAAACAAGACACTCTACTTTTCCCTAAAATACTGGAAAGTTATTGTTCCACAGGCCTGGTGCATCATGAGGTGTATACTGTACAATAATTGTCATCTCACCAAAACTGTTGACGTCAACTCATGCTTTGTTAAAGTCAAGGGCTAACAGTTTTTATTCAGCATAAAATCCTTAATTGGTGGATGTGATTGAGTCTAGACTACACTTTTGAAAATATCCTCGATTTGGGAAAGATTCATCAAAGTAAATCGATAGCTTGCTTTTGTTAGACAATAAACTTCCTATGGTTTGACTTAAGCCCTGTTGTTTACCCCATGTTTACTAATATTGCCAACATTATGTAAGAAGTATGTTCACTCATATGGTCCACAAGGGTAAGTTCTCTAAGACTTGGGTAAATTTCCTTATAAATCCTTTTAGCAATTAAAATATTATATATTGATAAGACAGTTTAATTATTATTATCAAAATTTCGTAATCGAAATTGTAGCAATACCAGTTCATATTTCACCAAAGTAGCGATAACCTGAAAAATATAATAATATATTTGTACTTAATGGCTTTAAATTATTTTATCAAATTTCTTAACTATATAAAATTAAACCTAATATGTAAAATTGAAATTATTTGGTTTTTATTTCAATTTAAGTCCAAAATTTTAAATTCTGACATATAAACTGTAAGGTTATTTTGAAGTAGGTAATACAAATTAAGTAATTTAGAAATATCATTGCCAAATTTCTCTTAAGACTTCAAATTTTATAAAATGTGCAAATTTTGTTTGTCAGTTTGACAGTTCAATAATAATTTAAGTGGCGAAGTAGGCTTTTTTGACATTAACTCAATAGAATTTTATGGGAAATGCTCGTAAATTGTGACTCGATTTTTATAATTCATGAATAAATTATCATCATAACAATGTTCAAGAAGCAGTAAGGGTGAAATTATTATTTTTATTTAAGTAATTATCATTAAAATCAGAATATCTTTTAAAAAAAAGTATATACATACGGCGGCAAATCGTATTAAAAAATTTCACGGCTTTAACAATATCCATGCAACATTGCTTTTAGTAGAGTGGCTTCAAAGAATAGTTAAGCACTCTATCCTATGTTAAATCACTTAGAATATGGGGTGTAAGATACGAAAAAGTTGTTTTATTGATACGACTGCATATTGAAAAGTTTTTGGGTTCGAGTACCGGGTGGACCAGTATGACCGCTGATAGAAAGTTGTGGAGTCGTCCCATGGAGTTATCAATTCTCAGCCCTGGACATTTTAGCCGAAATTGGTAAGGTGGATATTGTTATGAAGAAAAGGTGTATGAAAAAAATAAAATTGTGCTGTACCGTAAGAATCATTCCTCTAGTAATATAAAAGTATAAACCGCTCAATGCTGTTGTAGTGTAGCGAATCTGTCGGATAAATCTTTGTACCTATAAAAAAGAACACAATTTATACTTAAAAAAGTGCTAGGTAGAGAACATCTTGTCTATCACACATTTAAATTTTAATAAAACTGTATTGGACTTAACGTGCCAAAGATTTATTTAGGCCTAATTCATATTATTATTAATTCATATTATATAATTGCATAGTTTAAGTGGATTCGATCGTAAAAAAGGAGGATCTTAATGAGAATATCAAAATGAAATCCATAAAAGTTGAATAATTACTTTAAAGTACCTTTTCAGGGTTTCGTAGTCATAAGCGTAAATATAAATAAATATGTTGGGGCATTAACACACAACACAGCAAGTACAACTCACTCACAAACTGACTCAAACTCACTACAAACTGAGCCAAACGTGTCGTCAAAAAACGGTCTGTATATCACTGTTAATAGGTTTCGAAATTCGTAAAATTTATTATACCACATGAAAGCTAATTATTTAATATCTTTACTTACACCAATGGTATATTCTGATGGGGGTACGTTTTGCAGGTATATGATAGGACGGCACGCTATAGTGTTGACGTTAGCAGCTAACAGGCAAGTGCTCATTGCTCTTACAAATAAGAACAAAAATGAATAAGAGTAATAAATTATGTATTCTAGGCCGCTATGTGTCCTAAAAATGAATTCATGCTAAAAATTATCGTTTATACATGCGTATAGGAACTTTTCAGTATATGACAAAAGCAAGATGAGCGAAATTTTATCTAGGGTGTCATAACTTGAACGTTGCATTTTGTTTAATACATTAAAATAACCAAATAATATCATCAATCATCATCCAATACAATATAATATTAGTAAAATTTTAGATATTGTTACTTTCTTTTTAATACAATGAAAATCCCTGCCAAATTTTATCGAAATCGGTTCAGCGATTCAAGTGTAAAAAAGTGATAGACAGACAGAGAAATTTATATTCCCTTTTTTCTTTACAATTTTTATTTAGCCGTATTTTGGGTTTGCGGTGATTGTGACCATCATTATTTGCAATATGTCTCGAGCAGGATTCGAACCTCGGGACATCCTTGGAGATGACTAACATCTATGGCATTAGGTAAAGAATTGTACAGATATTTCATTATTCTTACTGTATAAGGTTAAACAATTGGACCACTATAAAAAAGAGACTCGTAAACAATGATAGAAGTATCATATAACACATATTCCTGTTCACTTCATTCACAAGTTCCACCAAATACGAGTAGTAGACTCGAATTTCTTCCCAATTGATGATGTTCTGGGAAAAAAATACAATAAATAAATATGTTGGGACATTAACCATCTAGTTTCATGGTAAGCTACGAGGCCTGTACTATGGATACCAGATAGTTGATAATTTATATAAAACATATACTTATAACTTTAAATACATACATATTATAAATATAAACACGCATGACTGAAGTACAAATATTCCTGCTAATACTTTCTTAGATTTACGCGAATATTTCTCATTTTAAATAAAACTATCTTTTCGGATTTTTTCGCGGATTTAATATGATTTTTGGTTCCCGACGTTTGGAATGCTTCACAGCAATCATGGTCACGGGAGAGATTGTGTCTCCCGTGACCATGATGGCCGAAAAGATAGTTTTATTTAAAACATTAATTGTCATCACACAAATAATGGCCCCCAGAGGCGCTTGAACCCGCGATCACTGGCCCAGCAAATAGGGTCACTACAAACTGAGCCAAACGTTTCGTCAAATATGTTTAAGAATGTTATGTTTTAGAAATAGCTATATATACAAAAACTTTAATAAAACTATTGGCAACTCACCTGCTCTTTCTGTCTTCCTATAACTTCATATAGATTTTTGAAATATGAAGTCAGATAGATACTTATGCACATAGTCATAGCGTCCGTAAAATTCCATAGAAATGTTGCTTGAAGGTTGACGAACTATTGAAAAGTTTGGTGTTTTATTTTAATTCATATTTAATTGCCTTGTTACTTCAGATCACTTCCTCGGTGAAGATGGTGGCTAGTATGCATAGCTACAGATCCGGAGATCCTGGGTTTGAGTCCCGGGTCAGGTCAAGTTTACTTAATGAGTTTTTCTGTTAAGTTATTCTCAGTAACAGCCCGGAGTTGGGAAGTTGACGGTGTTTCACCCCCTTGCCTCGGAGAGTACGTAAAGCTTTAACTCTCACCGGTCGTGTCGAAGTATCGTCCCATCGGACTTTGAGAGCAAAATGAATAGAGAGTGCATGTTTTGTCTGCGGGTACACTTGTGCACTACAATATCCCCTACGTCTGGTTAGTCTCAGTGAGATTAGTCGGCTTGGCCGAAATCGGTCAGCAGGACATTATTAACTTCTGGTCTTAGTCTATGAGTCTATTTTTTTACTTAATTTCATCCAAATCTGTCCAGCCATTTCAGCGTGAAAGACCCCACGTCCATTACTACTACCCACTTTCGTATTTATAATAGTGGTATAGCGTCTTATAGGGGTAATAGATATATGATCTTAAAAATCTTTTAAATAGTTTATTTTAGGTGCGTTTTAATTTTTTTTTGAACGCTAATTCTTTTTCTAAAAAAAATAGCCTATGTAACTCCTTATAACATCAGTCATACATATCTGCCAGTGAAATTTCCGTCAAAATCGGTGCAGCCGTTTCGAAGATTAGCCGGAACAAACAGACAGACAGACAGACAAAAATTCTAAAAACTATAGATTCGGACTCTGTATCGATAATAATGTCTATTTCAAATATATTTTCCTAAAAATATTTAATGTACAGATTCGACTTAGTTACAATTTTATTATATGTATAGATAATATTTCGTCTGCTCCTAAAGATAAGTCTATCCATCACAGCCCATGTGATTTTAAGTACTAACTTACCTCGTATAAGATTGCTATCCAATTCCTGTAAGAAATAAATGAAAAAACGAAAGGTGCGTTTTTTCTAACTAAAATCTCTAAAAAATCCCAGAAGCCGTGGACGTCATTCCTTTGAGAAGTTTCTGTATTTATTTTACTTATTTCTAATTTTACTTTGAATACAAGCGAAAGTATGTGTTCGACTGTAAAGAAAAAATATTGTATAGTATTCAGCCCTCTTTAACGTCCCACTACTGGGCACGGGCCTCTCTTCTAGGTGAGGGGAATCTGGCCGTAGTCCACCACGCTGGCCAAGTGCGGGTTGGCGGACTTCACATGTCTTTTGAAAACTTGTTAGGTTCTCTCAGACATGCAGGTTTTCTCACGATGTTTTCCTTCACCGTTACGACACCGTTAAGAAGAAAAAATAAATCATTAGTATTTCATTTGGTCTATTACTTTGCTTAGGAATAATTTTTACTGCATTCCAACCCAATCTTGTTAATGACATATTTTTCATTAAATTCGAATTAATTTAGAAATTAATACATGGCACTGAACGTATCATATGTATAAGTATGTGAAACGTATAGAGATAACAGTGATAGCACAGTGGTAACGCACTCGCTTTGTAAACCAAATAAAACGAGTTCAAGGCCCTGGTCTCGCAGATCTGAGATTTTGTGCGCGAATTATTTTTAACATGTCAAAGGAAAACTTTGTGAGGGAATATGCATATCTGAGAGATTTAGTCTTCGAAAGACGTGTAAGTCCAAATTGCAATCATCCAGCGTGGTGGACTTTGACCTGATCCCCCACGATTTAAGACCTGTGCCCAGCAATGGGACGTAAAAAGCATTGTCGGTATTGCAATACCGCCAACATACCAACTCCGGGTTGTTACTGAGAATATATTTGACAGTACACATTTTTATTTTTTATACTACTGATACAAATGCGAGGGTATCACTGTATATATATACATATATAAACTAGATAGTTCCAAATGTAGGTACTCACAGAGCGCCGAAACCATTAGAAAACAAACAACCCAGTTGGTTTTCTTATAAATATCCTTCTTTGAGCGTATATTTACTACACAGCTTTCAATATGACTAGCTCGGCTAATAAGCTGTGGCCAGTTCAAAGCTAATTTTAACAGACACATAGCCGACAACCAACTCGTCAAATAAAATAGAACTTCTGCTGAAATGTTATTTAATTATTAGAAATATATCTAAAGTAATACTACATATATCTGTCTTTATATTATATATATAAATATGCAAAGAAAATCTAATATATTTCGATACCTAAAATACATCACACATTCATGTATAATATTTTAACTATAATTAAGAGCTCATACCAAATCATATTTACCTATTAGATATTCATATCTTAAAATATTGTACGCTGGCACCGACTTCGAAAATATCTGATTAGGTATCTATTCTAAATGAAAACCTCCGTTTAGTTATTTTTTACATTTTAGTGCCTGGAAGTCGGTTTTTTTAAATGTTTTTATTAATTATTATTTTTGGTGTAATGACTTTATACACTCACCATTACGCGACAATATCTTCAAGTGTTTGATATTGAGTTGGTTACGAATGATACTGCTATTTTATTGACAAGCCATTCATCAAATAAATATCTTTGTAAAATTATATACAAGAACACATATGATTATTTTAAATAAAAATTATATATAAGTTTATCCATTTATATATAAGTTTATATGTGTATATTTGTGGGTTACTCCGTAACGCTGTAACGAGTCAACAGATTTGAATGATACATCATTTTTATTGGCATAAAAAGAGAGCAGAGTCGGGTGACAATATTTGAATACGCTTTTTAATTTGCGTCTCATTTTTTTTTATTTAAACCCAAACATATACTGTGAGGAAATCTATTCATAGTTATAATATAGAAACTTACTTAAATTATGCAAAGTTAAGTCGTTGATGAAGAAGTAGTAGAGGGCTAGAAAGGTAAGTATACTTTGACAGCCCAGTGTTGCCATATGATATATGACATAAAAGGATTTAATATTACACCTGAAAATAAATTTATATTATGTATAGAAATTTTAACTCATATATAAGTTTCAGATTGGATATTTATATATTTTTAATACTGCTAAGTAGGTTCTTGTGTTTAGTATGTGCATATTTAAAGGTATTAATCTACATTATATAATATTATGATAAAGAATTTAACAGTTAAAAAGTTTATCGTTAAAAAAGGGAACGATAGTATCTATCACTGATTAGTTTTATTCTTGGAAAGAAAAAAAGTTTTCACGGAATATAACAAGAAAATAACATTTAAATAGATTTTAACGGGTAATAACGGTAATCGATTTTTGGTTCACATGGGGAAGAAATGTTCATATATTTTTCGTTGTAATCTTTTGGCTAAAATGAGCATTTTTTTAGTTTTTTGTTGCTGTTTTTTAGCAATTTTTAATCGTAACATAGACTGATATATTAATACACAATATTATAATGACTTTAGTATTACTATCTATATTACAACTCATTGAATTTGATACTGTTACGATAGTAGTTGTATGTAATATTGTTTGCGCTTATTATTTTTGAATAAAACAGGTTTTTTTTATAAAAAAAAATACTTTTAGCCAATGACAGAAGTAGACGTAGATTGAGAAAGGTATAGATAGACTGCGTGAAAGAGAACGTGTGTGAAAGGTGTGTGTGCTGAGATGACGGCTGATAGAGGGAATTGAAAGAAGGAAACATGCTATATCGACCCCAGGTAGTGTGGGATAAGGACAAGGAGAAGAAGAAGACGAAGAAGAATACCGTAAACTAGTGCTTGCACGCTTGTTCAAGCCTTCCACAGGGAACATGCCTGCCCACCGACACAAATTCATGCATAAGCGAAGACATGCGTGTAACTCGCATTCTTTTATTAGGAAATTGTTTTGTTTTACTCTGATGTTGATCGGCAGCTGTTGAAAATATTAGCATCTAATATATTACTGTTAATATATATTTATTCTTTGTAACGTGCTCATGGATCAAATCTAATGTTAATATAGTATTATATTATTTCATTTCAGTTATTCATCACAAGAGACTCACCCTCGCTTCGCTCAGGTTCGTCCCTAGGTACGTTTTGACGCTCAGTATGGAATAGATGTTTTTTTCATATATATTTTTTCCTGAATTTTTCCGATGTTTTAATAATTATTCTGCTATTCGAGGTGAAGACAAATCTAACACAATAAAGATCATAGAAATCGATCTAGCAGTTCTCGAGTTATAAGTGTTGTTGAAGTCGGTTTGACTTTGTTTTATATTTATACATATATAGATTTCATTACTATGGCTTCTGCAGTAAGATTAATTATCTACACAGGGCATTATACAGTGGCATAAGTACATTATATGAGTCCAACTGAAATGAACTCTCTATTCCTTTCACTCTTATCGTAATACGATTAGAAAAAAATCACACACTGCTCTACACTGTAAGAATTTTTTAAGTAAATTTCTCACTAGAAAAGGGCCTGATCTAGGTCTCGAACCTAGAAACTTATAATTTATAGCGACTCAACCTTGCTCCGCTCGGGTTTCCCTACATACGTTTTAACGTTTAGTGTAGATTTCTCAGAGATGAGATATTTTCCCGCAGTTAAAAGTGTCCTATATGTTGACCTGGATAACCAGCTATCATCATACCAAACATCTAAAACCCCTCCAGTGATTTTTTCGTGATGTGGTCAAAGACGGACAGACAAAAATTCTAAAAATTATAGATTTGGCCTCTGTATCGATAATAATGTCTATCTCAATAAGATTTTTCAAAAAATATTTAATGTACAGATTCGACTTAGGTATAATTTTATTATATGTATAGATACTTGTTGTATGTCACACTAGATTATAAAGTAGCTAAACTGTTTAAAACGAGTTTAGGCCATTCAGTACGATATTCAAATGAATTTAAATCATTATGGCAATATATACCATGATGTAATACATTCTATAACTTTGACAATAAATAATATTAAAACGACTCCCACCTGCGCTTCAGAGGCCATCTCAATGACAAATAGCTGTTTAATCATAAAATTATGCCTAAAATGTTAAAGGCGTTTTAAAAGTCCGCTACGAAAAAAGTAAGTTATTTTTCTAATAAGAATTTACATTCGATAATTTATTCATGGATATGTCACATCGCCAGCTTTCATGGGGAAAGTATTTGTCAATATGTCAAAAAAATATATTTCGAATATTTTTTGATTTCATAAATCATGTTTGTTGATTTGATTTATGGGGCGATAGAGTTCGCTTAGTTTAATTAAAGTTGACGATTTACAAATAAAACAATATTTATCTTTTAGATTTTTTTTATGATGCAGTAGGATAATACACTTTGAACCTATGATATACATAATTAACTTAATTATTTCCCTTAGAACCACAAGTCACAGAGTCGATAAAATCAAAAAAAAGACTGCGTTGATCTCTACATATGTATTTTTCGCTTCCAATGAGGTAGGTAGTCATTTGATCATCATGGTATGGGAATCATGGCAATGATAATCAAACTTAATTGGAGCTTTTTTAAATATAATAAACTAGCATTGCCCGCGGCTCCGCCCGCGTTCAGATGATCAAAAACCAAATTCTTAGGTTTTACATATTAGTATACTCTTACAATGCAATTTTTGTATTTTTTCTCAGAAATGAGATATTTTTCAGCGGTAAAAAGTATCCTATATGTTGACCCGGATAACCAGCTATCATCATACCAAATTTCATCAAAACTGTCCAGTGGTTTTCTCGTGATGCGGTATCAGATAGACAGACAAACAGACAGACAGGCAAAAATTCCAAAAACTTTAGACTTTGGACTCTGTATCGATAATAATGTCTCTTTCAATTAGATTTTCCAAAAAATATTTAATGTACAGATTCGACTTAGTTACAATTTTATTATATGAATAGATATCTAGTTGGCTTTGAAAAATCTTTTAAGTTCTTCCCATAGCTCGACATTCTTCCCTTACTCCTCACATCAATATTTCCAAACGTTTTTCTTAGTTTTGTATATTTTCATTAAGACCTACCTCGTTTCATATATCTTCGGTGCAACTATTTAAATTGCCCGTATCGGTATAGATAAGACAATGTAATAATTGGACGTTGGATATCGAAATGAAGCAAAACTAATATATAACTTGAGCTACCCCTTCTATATACCATTAAATATGGGGTCTCATTTACTATCCCATATAATATTTAAAAAAAACCATAAAAATGCACACGCATATCTGCAATATACAGGTACTGAAATATCTCTTGAACTCTTCAGAAAAATACAAGTTTTTTATATTAATATCGTTCTATTTTTCTAAAAATGAACATGTGCCAAGATACTATATAGATTAGACAAGCTAAAATCTTACTCAGCATTCTAATAACTTGACTTACACAAATTTTACATCCTACTGTCAGGTTGATTACAGGCCTTTGAAAGTAACGTACGTGTTTTTCACAAAGAAAAATACGACAGTCTTCATATTCAAAGGCATTTATGATGAGAATTTCTGGACTTTCAGCGTTTTAAATCATTTTTTATTTATAAATTCAATATATTTATTGAAAAATTAAAAAGTATTATTATTTGAATTTTAAATTGTTCAAGTTATTAAATTCTAGGTTTAAAATAAAAAAAAAATACCAAAAAATGTAGCATTGGAAATAAGCATTACCACAAAACTAAATTTGAATATTTTTTTGATCATACAAAATTTTTGCAGGAATTATTAAATTATAAAGGAAGTAAAGCGAAAAATCTTACTCAATACATATTTTCTCTGTATAAATTCTCTAGTTGTTTAAATAATTGTGCATCATCAAAAATGTTTTAGTCTTTATTTATAGTTAAAAGTCATACATTTTTTACCGATTTCCAAAATAAGGTTATATGTTTAGCTAGTAGGTACTTTCTTGTTTTATTAAACATTTTTTTCTATCACTTAAAAGGCCCTGTATCTATACTAATATTATAAAGAGGTAAAGTTTGTAAGTTTCTGAGATTGTGAGTTTGTGACGTTGTAGGGGGTAATCTCTGGATCTACTGAACCGATTTTTATCCCGGAAGTCATCCCTTAAAGGGGTGAAAATGGGGATGGAATATTGTATTGGGAAGCAAGTCATATATATATATATATATATATATATATATATATATATATATATATATATATATATATATATATATATATATATATAATATATATATATATATATATATATATATATATATATATATATATATATATATATATACTTGCTTCCCAATACAATATGCATACAATAAAAACAAGTTAGAGTTCTCGAATAAGCTGGTTGAATAAAGCGAAGTACGCACAAATTATCTAAGCCATTTCTCCTTAAAGCATTATACAACGCTATAGGATAGACGCAATTCGTTGAAATTCGCTTGAATTTAAATATCTCATTTACTGTAAACATAATATTAAAGGAAAATGTACTACTAGTAGATATCTACTGCTAGCGAACAATTGCTTACAACTCATTTAGTATGTATCTGACTTGCCAAAACAACTTTAATGAAAACATGTCACGATGATTTCACTATTTTAACACCCTTTACTCCATCGATATGGTTTTTTAAAGAATATGCTACCGTAATTCTATGTTCGTAAGTTTGAAATTTAATAGACAAAATTGAAGCTTACGTCGTTTTTTTGACGTCAGCTTCAATGTAAACAGTTGGTAGTACCTTACCTAAGAAGAAGGAATATGAAAATGATTTCAAAGCTTTATTTTTCATATTGAAAATAATATAGCAAAATTAAACATATGGCCTTTTTTAACAACACTATATGAAGGGGAATCAGGCCATAACCACTACTACCTTGGCCAAATGTGATTTGGCAAACTGCACATGGCTTTCGACAATTTGCAGAATTCTCTCAGACGTGCAGTATTCTTACGATGTTTTCCTTCTCCGCTTTTTTTTTAATTTTGGGAAATGCATTTACGCATACTACATGCAGATATACAGGTGGTTATGTGGGACTCACCGGCTAGAAAAGCCAGTACTACCCAGTAAAACCCAACAAAACCTCCCCCGTCTTAAAAGGGCGTCGCAGGATCGCTTACGCACTCAACCACGACGCGACGCCTCGACGGTAGGTCTGCCGAAGCAGACCACAACTATGGAGTTGCTCCAACGGTCCATTCATAATAAACAAAGAGGTACCGGGAGCAACCCGCATGGTACACCACCCACCGAAGTAGGCCACCTCCCAGGTAGTTTCTTGGCTTCGCCCCCGGCTGAACTACCGGACACTACTGAGCTCCCCATCATGACGTTTTCCTTCTCCGTGAGGCAAGAGGTAATCATGTTAAAGATTGTGCGCGCATGAGAATATCAGATGCGACACTTGGTTGCCCAAGCAAGTATGTTGTTGTAAAAGTATGTTCTTGATTAAAAAGTAGTAAAGTCATACCGTTTCTTGACATATACCATTAGTTGATATTAATAATTCTTTAACTAACAGAAAGCTGTTTTATCCAAGCGGTCTATAGGTTACAAATTATATTTGTACTGCACTTGCTTACACCATTTATAAGGTTGTTTAAGAGAGAAAGTAATTGAATAGTTAAATTAAAAAGTTTGCGATACTATATAAATTTATAACTTTATTAGATACTAGTATTGCCCGCGGCTCCGCCCGCGTTCAGATTACCAAAAATTAAATTCTTAGGTTTTACATATTAGTATACTCTTACATTACAGTTTTTGTATTTTTACTCAATAATGAGATATTTTTCCGCGGTAGAGTATTCTATATGTTGACCCGGATAACCAGCTATCACCATACCCATGAAAATCCCTTTAGTGGTTTTTCCGTGATGCGGCTACAGATAGACAGACAGACAGACAAAAATTCTAAAAACTATAGATTCGGCCTCTGTATCGATAATAATGTTTATTTCAATAAGATTTTCCAAAAAATATGTAATGTACGGATTCGGCTTCGTTACAATTTTATTATATGTATAGATATTTGCTTTTTATTTTAAAAATATCTTTTACAATATTTAATTCAGTTAAGTATATTATAGAGGACATAATAATGAAAATAAAACCAAGTCATCATTATGTCGAAATATCTGGGCCAATACAATACCGGAATTTATGAATTATATCTTACTTTAAACAGGTTATGTTATAAATACAAGGAATTTGTTAACGTTAATTAAATTATTATAAAGCGTCTATAGCCTATGTAACAATTTTACAACATAAAATATAAAACCTCGGTAAAAATTTAAGGTAATAGGGAAAAATATTAAGGCAAATCCACCAGAAATACGCTAGAAACGAAATTAATATTTTGTTATTTTATGGTATTTTACACCATAGGTTAAACATATAATATGTACTATAGATAAATATACAATTCAGTTATTTTGAACGGAAGTTCAAATTCTATGATTTCCTAAAATGCCACTTCTGTTTCTAAACTCAGTATACACCTTGAAAATACTCAGGTGGTAGATTTTAATTCAATTGTGTGGAAGATAAATGAGTTTTGTCTCGACGTACGAGTAAGTTCTTTATACATTTCACTGTATTTAAACGTTATATATAACTGAAGAGTATTTACGGTAGAATATATTCTATGTGTATAAACTAACATTATAAATATGAAAGTAACTCTATCTGTTACCTTCATGCTTAGACTGCTGAACAGATTTCGATAAAATTTTCCAAGGATAAATTGCATCATGGGGACGTAGGTATGTATGATGTTCTCCTAGCCGATTCCGGCCACGGCGGCCAATCTCAATGAGATTAGCCAACTGCGCAGGAGATATTATAGTGCTCAAGTGTACGCGCAGACACAAGTGCACTCTCTATTCCTATCACTCTCATACTCCGGTGGGACGACCACTCGACACGACCGGTGAGAGTTAAGGCGCAGGACCGACGGCTTTACGTGCTCTCCGAGGCACGGGGGTGAAACACCGCCAACTTCCCAACTCCGGGCTGTTACTGAGACTTACTATACAGGAAGACTCAATAACTAAACTTGGCTCGACCCGGGACTCGAACCCAGGACCTCCGGGTGTGCAGCCGTACATGCTAGCCACTACACCACCGAGGCAGTTAAGAGAGAGAGGTATGTATATACTATATATATTTATATATATATATTATACCTTTGAAAACCATCCCACTTAACACGCAAGCAAAGCTATTGGTAAATTTAGTATAAAATAATGGATATTCTTTTACTAATCTCGGGTTCTTTACCTAAATCTGGGATCATAAACCCTATTAGCCCATACTGTCCGCCATTCGTCTATTTTGCATGCACACTATATTGTGCAACGCAATAATGCCCTAGTTCGCTACAAATAACACTACATATTATGATTTATTTCTCAATATTTATTGTTTTTATAATAAGTTTATATGAAAAAAGCTCTTAAAAATGGAGCTTTATATCAAACAAAGCAACATTATCCATCGAACATTTAAAAACCATTAGCACTTGCTCATAATAAAAAGCTTCAGTGGGCTTTATTTATGAAGGAATTAATATGCGGCGGTAAAAAAAACATCATTTATCAACGAAACTTACAATATCTTCCTTATATTTTAGATTACAATTCAAGGTGACGTTTTAGGGTTCCGTAAATTATTTAAATAAATAAAAAAAAACAATAAAATATTAGTCTAGTTTATTTAACTACTGATAATTAATCTTAATTTTTTAATTTATTTAATATATTTTTTATAGTAGAAACAAAAGTGTGAAATATAATAAATAAATAAATAAATATAAATATGTAGGGACATTACCACACAGTACCATCTAGTTCCATGGTAAGCTACGAGGCTTGTGTTATGGATATCAGATAGTTGATACACGACACATATATAACTTATATTATAAATACATAAACTTAACTTTTTTATTATTGTCCAAAACGTACTTTAGTTTCTGATCACAGAACTCGTAGAACGTAATATTATGAAGTAAAAAGGGATATTTACAATGTTTAGCACTTATTTTTGAAAGTTCCCAATATTTCGGCAATGTAATAAGCCTCGGATACCTCTATGAAACGGATATCTCACTGGCCGTAACTATAAAAGTCTAAAAACTTATATATATATACATATATATATATACATATATATTGAGTCTATCTTCATTCTGTCCCTCCCATGAGGAATGCAGGTTTATTTTAAGTTAAATACAAGCGTATTTATTTGCAAACTAATTATAGTTGTATGAAAGAGAGATTTACTTTGCCATTCATACAAAAATATAACCAAGAACGAATTGCAAAAAAATAACTTTTGAAACTCATACAGCAACAAAGTTAATAACTCGATATATGTTGTTTCTAATTCATCGTCCAATAACAATACTAAGCGTTGGCCAATCAGTTTTAAATGACCCTATTATTTTGCAGAGTGGACATCATAATAGCTTTTGTATTGAGAGGATGTAGAACTATTGATGGGATATTTGAACAACAATATTGATAAAATAATTTATCAAACTATTAGAATATTTTTTTGTTAGATATATAAAAGAAATGATGTAAAGCTACGTGTTATAAGTAACAGTTAAATACAATGGATTACATTAATATTTATAAAACTGGACAACTGAAGCACGTCCCATATAAATGTAAGGAAAGTTGAATATTTTCTAATTATATATTATGTATTTTATACTAGCGACTCACCCTCGCTCCGCTCGGGCTCGTCCCTAGTTACGTTTTAATGTTTAGTATAGATTTCTCAGAGATGAGATATTATCCCGCAGTAAAAAGTACTCGATATGTTGACCCGGATTACCAGCTATCATCACACCCAATGTTATCAAAATCCGTCCAGTGGTTTTCTCGTGATGCGTTCTCAAATAGACAGAGAGACATACAGACAAAAACTCTAAAAACTATAGATTCAGCCTCTGTATAATATGTTCAATAAGATTTTCCAAAAAATATTTAATGCACAGATTTGACTCAGAATTTTATTATTACTATGTAAATTAACTCAATGAATGCTCGGAATTAACAAAATAAGGTCTTGATACAAACATTCAATGTTATTTACATCAAAGCTATAGAGACAAAATATGTGACTAACGACCATCTTACGTAGTCTGAAGTCTGAGTATCAGTTCCTATGACTGAGGTCTCGGTTCGAATCCCGTTTGGGGCAATTATTTACATCACTCTCATTACACATACATAATATAGGGACTGTTTAAAAAAGTATTATTCAAAATTCTCGTCATTTTACTTTTTTAATCTTAGAAAACTTGAAATTAATTAAATATTTCTTTACCACTATTGAAAATCTTTAACTTTTTTAATTTAAGTGAAGTATTATATTTCAAAATATTCCTTATTGAGCTTACAAGTTTATTTGCATGATACGTTCCTCTCTTCTGTGCAATATATGCACAGACATGTACCTACTAATCTCATAATCTAACTAATCTCAATAACTAAATCTTTAGATAGATAATATAAATTATATGACTTTTTGATTCATGAATAAAGCAATGAGGGCAAATTGCTAGTCTATAATGATAAATGAAATTGAAATCTCTGTTTGTAATATCAAAATAACAGCATTTTACTAATAATACGTTATTCGTTATATATGGTACTTCTAAGAAAAACCCAGTTTTTTAAATTTTGTCCATCTGTCTGTCTGTCTATTTGTTTGTTCCAGCTAATCTCACTTTTTTAGCAGATAGCTATTGCTATAAGCAGCAAGTTATGCTACTTTTATTATAGAAAAAAAATTGTGAAACCACTCTAAAAATTTAGAACGGAACTAGAGACGCACTCGAGTGAAGTGAGGGTAAATCGCTAGTGAATAATAATATTTATCATGAACAGTTCCAGTCAAAACTAAAAAGAACACATTTTCTTCTGAAAATCATTATAAGGAAAATTATGTAACATTTCAAGCAGCCATGAAGCTCACTGTTCTAATGGGCCAATTCTTTGGTCTAAATCCAGTTCTTGGAGTTACTGACGAAGACACATCGAAACTTAGGTCAGTATATGAATATATTTAAAAATATGTAGTACAAATTGTAAAACATATATATATACATAATATTTAAACGGTTTTATTTAACTTGCCCAGTTTGTTTTTTGGGTTAAAAGTAACCTCTTTCTTGTTGAAAGATTGAGCTGACATTTTGGTACACACCTTTAGTTCTGAAGACATAAAATTGAATATATTTAGTACCATTGTACATATAGATAAATAAAACCGTTTAACTTAATAAATTTTACCTATTTTTAATTCTTGCATATGATATGTGGACTGATGTATTCTAATGGAACATAAATTTATTATAACGCTTTATTTTTTAGATTCAGATATTTCTCCGGGCGCTGTATTTACACGTATCTGTCAATATTTGGTCAGTCTGTTTTTTTAAACGGATTGTTTTTACTAAAATATTTTAAGGATTCCGGAAATTCTTTCACATCTAATAGTAAGAAAATATTATACCTAAATATTTTATTGTAATTTTTATTTATTTATTAATTAATTATTCTAGCAATTGAGTTTTCCTCGGCGCATTTAACATCTAATATATAAATATCTCGTGTCACGGTGTTGGTGGGCGTACTCCTCTGAAACGGCTCGACCGATTTTAATGTTTTTTTTTGTATATTTTGTAGGTATGGGAATAGGTGGTAAAGTACTTTTCACCAGCCTACTCCCACTCCCATTTTTTATTCGCAAATTTAGTATTTTTGTATGAAATATATTATATATATAAATACTTTGGCGACAAACCCGAGTAAAACGAGGGCGAGTCGCAGTATAACATAAAGCCAAAGAGTTTTTTTTGTAAATTTAACGCGCGCGTAGCCGCGTATTCTTATTCTAATAATATAAATGATAGGTTTGATGTAATAAACCTAAGTCCTAATTAATTAATGTAATGTCTACAGAAAAGCTCTAAGCTGTAATAAACACAACGCAGAATAATTTCATGTTGAAGTATGTACATTGAACTCTATAGATCGTTTTAAATTTTTTTTACAGCTTCGTTAGTTTTTTACATAACAAATACGATAACCACTATACTATTCTTGAGAATAGCGACCCAGTGGCCGAAACTTTGTCATCACATATCTAAAACGGAAGCTGCGGATCCCTTTATGGATACAACACTTATAAAAAAATGTTCCATCTCTTGCCTTGTGATTATGTTTTTGGCAGTAGGTAATATGAATTGTTTTATGGATATACAAAGTTACTCGCTACGTTATTTTTATGGCACATCGTAATCGAACCCTATAAGGAGTTTGTGGGAGAATGCTCAGGAGGTAGCAGGAGTCATTTCCTATTAAGGGAATAGTTTTTAGAAATGCTTCATAGGGCCAAAACTTGAAATGTACAAATAAAAGGTTATCTATACATGCAATAAAATTCTGAGTCAAATCTGTGCATAAACCATTTTTTGGAAAATCTTATTGAAAAAGTAATTATTATCGATACAAAGGCAGAAATTTATAGTTTTTAGAATTTTTGTCTGTCTGTCTGTGAATACGTCACAAGAAAACCACTGGACAGATTTAATGAAATTTGGTATGATGATAGCTGGTTATCCGGGTTGACATATTGGATACTTTTTACAGCGGGAAACTAAACGTTAAAACGTAACTACCTAGTCTTAGTAAGCTAGTATGATAAAAAATAATTAAGGAAGAAAGGGGAGAAATGAAGAGGAACTAAAAGACGAGAAAGGGATAGAAGGATGATTAGTCTGGCCTCTGGAATCCTTCAATACCGAATAAAATGCAAAAGTGCAGATATTGATTCAGAGTATATTTTGTTAGTACTACTTCGGCTTACGAACCTTCCTATTTGTATTGATAAACGCTAGCAAGGTTCTGCTTCATTGATTTAATTTTTTAACCATATGTATGAATATTGGTATGAACTGACATACATTTTTACCATAATCTAATTCTTTTATAGTTGAACATGGTTTAGCAGAACTTTCGGGATTCGTGATGGCAGCAGACTGCAATCCAGATAAAATTTACGAGACATTCATTATGCACAGCTTTCCTTGGATTAGTCAACAGTTAAACTATAGTTTCGTCCTTGGAGCACTGACTCAGGTAAAGAGAACTATTTAAAATAAATCGAGATTTTCTAGCGAACATTACACATTAAAATCGCTGATTTAAAACTAGTTTTGTAGCAACTAAGTAGAATAGCTATATTTTAAATTGAAATATTTACTTATGCTATAAAAAGACCTACTGAAATGTATTCGTTTGATACTCGTATATATAGATTTTATTTTAGGATATGAATATTTATGATATGATATATGAATATCTAATAGGTAAATATATATTTTACGTATACATTAGATTTGCTTTGCATCGGCTGGCACCGACTTGGAAAATATCTGATTAGGTATCTATTCTAAATGAAAACACCCGTTTAGTTATTTTTTACATTTTAGTGCCTGGAAGTCGGTTTTAATTTTTTTCTAAAGTCTTTATGTAATGTATTTTTCTTTCAGTTTTTTAACATTCAATGCACATTCAACTGGAATTTTGCTGATGTGTTTGTTATTTGCATCAGCTTTTACTTGACTTCGAGGCTAGAACAAATAAACCGAAGGATGAGTGCTGTGAAAGGAAAAGTAAATATATGTAAATTAATACGTTTTCCTAATTAATTTTTGATTTCAATAATATTTTCTGACCGATTTCGGCCACAGCGGCTAATCTCATTGAAATAACTCAGTAGGGGAGCCCAAGAGGGGATTTTCTGTAGTTACTCGAGCGCGGCAGATTAACATAAAAAATCATCATAAACTTTATAGTCGATTTTTGCCTCTTCGGCTTGTGCAAATCGGCAGATTATTGAATTGGACACTTTTCAGGATGTGACTAGCCTACCACACCTTAATCTGACGGTTTCAAGTATTTCTACCTTATCAAAACATTTTTTAAATATTTTAATCGGCTTTCCTAGACGCGCCCCTTTATATAGAAGACTTATATTATGGTGAAAGTACTCAATAGAGTGCAAGGTAACCTCTTTTATGTTAATCTGCCGCGCTCGAGTAACTACAGAAAATCCCCTCTTGGGCTCCCCTACTATAAGTGAACTTGGCCCGACCTGGGATTCGTACCCAGGGTCCCCGAATTTGTGTGCGTGTCGTGCATGCTAACAACTAGACCACCGAAGCAGTTTATTTAATAATATAATCATTCACCTCGATTATTATACAAAAAAAATCTTATAATCATTAAAAATATTTTGATACTTTAAAAAATATGGAAACCTTTTATTTAATCTTTTTGAATTTTAAAATAATATTTTAATTTTTAACTTTAAAATAATATTAAGAGTAATAAATTATATCTTGACTTTAAAAATAATGTTTTTCTTTTTAACTTAGTATTGTCATTTTCTAAATAGAAAACTTTAAAATATTATATTTCAGTCGGTACCAGTTTTAGTTTGGCGGTCACTAAGGGAAGATTACCATAGAGTAACAAATCTCGTCAGACGAGTGAATGAAGTGATTGGCAGCATCATATTTATCTCCTTCGCAAACAATTTATTTTTTATCTGTCTGCAACTTTTGCATACTCTAGCGTGAGTAACATACAATAATATTATAACAAATAATTTACAATAACAATATAAGTAATAATATGTACATAAATTAGTAATTTGTTGAAAACTTTAAAATTTGTGGAATCTATTTTTTTTATTCCAACAAAATATTTTAGTCTTTTCAGAGCTACTACGTTTATATTTTTCTAAGCAAATTGTATCAAAATATTTTTGAAATTTTCGCTGTAAAGGTTTGACGAATTTAAAAGATAATATATTGAAAGATAAAAAAATATGATTCCCAAAGTAAAGAGACGCTTATTTTTTTTAATTTATATTGAATAAATATTGAGTAAGAAAAAAATGTTATTAGTAATATAATTAACGATTTTATTCTTTTTCTAGATATCAGTCACTACGTTATATTTGATTTTTTATATCAATCTAGTTTGATTCTTCGTATAATTTCTGATACATTTTAGGCCTTTGTTTTATAAAATACTAATCTTTACCTAAAATAGGTACCTAAATACATATTAAATATTATTTCAATTTAAAACGGGAACTAAGAAAATATTGATAATCCAGTTTTTCAAAATTCTACAAATCCACAAAAAAAACACAAAAAATGATACATTTGTATGTTAAATAATAAATTATTTTGTATATTTCTTCAGAGATGGAATCAAAGCTATTCCAGGTTGTCACTATCCAGATAAAAGGTAAGAATTAAAAAAAAAAACATTTCAAATTTACAATCTGGGAAATAATTTAAAACTATATGTTGGAAAGACGTTTGTCTATTTGTGGGAATATGACTTATATATTATCAGTAATCGGGTATACTGATACTTATAATAAAAATCTTAATTGTTTTCAGATTAGAATCTTGATTATTACGTTGACACTGTATTGTGTATTTAATATTTACTAGGATAGGAAGAATAGTAAAACAAATACAAACCTATCCCACGGGAACCGTACATTTTTCCGGGATAAAAAGTAGCCTATGTGTTATTCCAGCCTATAATTTATCTTTATGCCAAATTTCATCCAGATCCATTCAGCCGTTCTGGTGTGAAAGAGTAACAAACCCATACTCAAACTTTGACATTCATGTGCTAACCAACCCGTTTCCAATTTTTTACCGATTGTTAAAACTAAACGCAATTTGCCCAACAGAGTACCTAAATATACCAATTCCTTCTTATAAACTGATTAGCTAAAGCTAAATTTAAAAATAAAAATAAATTTTTCATGTGAATTTATTGTACATTGTTGGTATTTCAGGCCACTTAGAGGATATGAACAGCCAGCATATTTCACATACTCGCTTATATTCCTCATTGTCAGATCTTTGGCAGTTTGCCTTATAGCTTCCGGAGTACACACAGCAAGTCGCACACCGGTTTATACTTTATATGAAGTGCCATCATCAGTTTATTGTGTTGAGGTACTCACCTTTTTAAAGTTTTTCTATTAAGACTAGTGGTTCGACTTGGCTTTATCCATGTATTTACTGCGAGCTTATTCGTCTAGATAGAATAACAATAGCAAATTATAAAGAAAAAATCTTTATAAGCTTGACAGTACATAAATATTAGATAACTTATTTATATTATACGCTTTTTTACCGATTTTTAAAAACGATAGTGTTTAGCAGGTATTTTGTTATTATCTACGTAGAAGGTATTGTAACTAACGATATAATCAAATTTGGAAGTTGAATTAAACCCACTTCTAATTATTGTATCTATTTGGAACCTTGTTTGTGAAATCGGTATGACAGTACAAAATTTGGTATCATCCAGCTAAAATGATAATAAAGTTAGGAGGCGGATAGTGGAAGTGGCTGTAGGAAACTTTTCAAACTACTAAAACTTTCGAATATAGATTCATTCTAGTCGTTTTAATGAGTAGGTACCACTAAAAAGTCGGTCCAGAGCGGGTTTGATAATTTCCTATAAGTAATTCTTTTTTTAATCGTAGGTGCAAAGGTTCATCGAGCAGATCCATGGAGAAACTGTTGCATTAAGCGGCCTACAATTCTTCAAAGTTAAACGCGGAATGGTTTTGGCTGTAAGAATTTTCATATTTATTGTTAATAAAATAGCATTCAAAATATATGAAACACAATACAGTCGGCTCACTATGTTCGTTTTGTTCTGTTAGTCTAGAGAAGGGTACAATAATATGTTCATAATTATTTTCATCTATAGAAAATTTATATATAAGCTAAATATATAAGTGCATTATATTATAATACATATATACGTAGATAATGTATAGAATTGTTATATAAGACTTTCAACTTAATTTGAACTCACTTAAATTGGAAAAAATTGATTTGTGATTACTTGTGCCCGAGATGCTTCCGATTACAATAGATGCATTATCCGCTATGCCGATTAGTTTATATAACAAACCATTATAAAGGCTTTTATTTTTACATATAATAAAATTATAACGGTTCCAATATATTTTCCCGTATTTCAGATAGCCGGAACTATTGTGACGTATGAACTTGTTCTACTCCAGTTCGCTGGCGTCACGCCCACTGTAACACCTCTGCATAGCGATGATGATTTAGCTTAACATAAGTTATATACGACGGTACAACACTTGGCATTTTTTTGTTATCAAATGTGACTTGTTCTAAGAAAGATGAATTCACTAAAAATGTATCACACTGTTATTAGTATATTTTATTCTAATATTTTTAAAAGTTTCATTAAATAAAATAAGAATATTTTAAATAAAACTATCTTTTCGGATTATTTCGCGGATTTATTTTGATTTTTGGAAACCTAAATAATCCGAATAGATAGTTTTATTTAAAATGTAAAATATTCGCGTAAATCTAAGAAAGTAATATAAGAAGATTTATTTGCCACACTGCGCCACTATCACAAGACGAGTCTATTGTCCTTTGAGAGTGCATATCCTATCATGTCCTCCTAACTTATTTCGGCTACAGCCGCCAATCTCACTGAGACTAGCCAACTGCGAAGGTCGTGGGTTCGAGTCCCGGGTCGGGCCAAGTTTAGTTATTGAGTCTTTCTGTATAGTAAGGCTCAATAACAGCCCGGAGTATGGAATTGGCGGTGTTTCACTCCCGTGCCTCGGAGAGCACGTAAAGCCGTCGGTCCTGCACCTTAACTCTCATGGGTCATGTCACCGAAGTATGAAAGTGACAGGAATAGAGAGTGCATGTTGTGTCTGCGCTTACACTTGTGCACTATGATATCTCCTGCGCAGTTAGCTAGTCTCAATGAGATTGGCCGCCGTTGCCGGAATTGGTCAGAAGAACATTATTAAATAATTTTGGATAGAGTTTGTACAGAAAAACTTCATTTCGGGGGTTGATTATAAAAAAGCAACCCAGCGTAACCAAGACATAATACTCGAAAAATCGGATCCACATGACTGCCAAGCTTCGACAAGCACTCACTTTCTTGTGTGAACATAATATGGAGAGAGTTTTTGACTTGTTAGGGTTTGTAAACACTTATGGCCGTTCCGATATGTATCGTTTTTTGTTCACAAATCAAAGAGAATTCGGATCCAGACGTTTGTGCGTTTGTAGAGATTTGAAGCTTGTGGCAGATAGCAAGTCTGTGGACCTGGTATAAAACGTATATCTAAGTAAGCTTCATGTGTGTGACTTCACGTAGTTGATTCACACATATCTTTAATAACAAAATTTTCGTACAAAAATATATTTTTCTTTTTTTATCCAGGGAAACCTTTTTTTGTAAGATTTACGGTGTTCCGAATATCTCCATATTCCAAATAATATTAAATACACTTGCCCATTTTGTATATCAACTAAAAAAATAACTTTTATTTAACATTTTCTGTTTATTACTTTTATACGCGAAACTTAAGAGAAAAACTCATACATAAAACAGCAAATTTTATATTTATTGAAATATCTACTTACAACAAAAGAAAGAGATATATTATATATTGATAGTATAGTATTAGACATACATATTTAATAAAAGACACAAGTGTTCATTGGACGACTCCCATTAATCACGTGATGTTATTAGCAACTTTTTAATTCCTCGTTTCCCTCTGGTGATACGTTATTAAGTAAGATAAGTTTTAGAATATAAGAATATTATAGAATAAATACACGTGATATCTCTCTACACCTGCTCCCCTTGTGATGACGCCCTTCGAGCCTCATGTAATTGGACGATCTCTAACATAGTTTATTTATTTTTTAATTAATAAATGTATAAAAACATTTTTAATTTGTTTTTGTTACGTTTGAAGAACTTGAGTCGGTATCGTCGTACTGGACTAGTACTAAAACGTAAGTCATCACGCTCGCTGCCATCTGAAGAAGATAATATAATAAAGGGAGTATAATAAGCAATTAATAAGTAGAGGTTTACCGAGAAAGTACTCACACTTATGCGTGCGTGCGTGCGTGCGTGCGTGCATGTGTGTGTGTGTGTGTGTGTGTGTGTGTGCGTTATTCCAGTACGCTGTAATTGTTAGGTATATTTGAGTGTTTATAATGAAGATAGCTTATATCTTGAATTATTACGGATAAACAGGAAGGGTTACTTTATATTAATATCCTTCATCTCGCATAGATACGTGAATGATGGCCCTAATATGCAAGTACGCATCGTATACGGTTACTTAATATCGTTAGGCATGCAAAAGCTTGTTTACAAGCTTGTGTACAGTTTGAAAATCTATTAAAATTTCAATTAAGTGTGGGAGTAACATGCTTGATATCTATAAAAACTTTTGCTCAGGCAATTATCTATTACGTAGATTGAGAGCACTTTTGAAAATGATTACTTAGTAATTTTTAATTATAAATTTTGTATGCACTTTTACAAAAGAAATAGTACATTTATGTAATATTTTATATACTTGTTTATGAATTAATTTTGTGATAATATTATTATAAAAAGTTACCTGTAATATGACATTACGATTTAAACTGAAAAAGCCCATCCCAGTTAACGCAACGTAATCCTTGCTCAACTGCTTTTGTAGCCTTTCCATCTTAAATGATATGTATATATATATATATATATACATATATATATATATATATATATAAAATCGATGTGTGTATGTATGTGTCCTATGGACAACAAAACGGCTGGAGCGATTTTGATGAAATTTTCAGAAAGTCTTCAGGTTAGCCCGTTTTAATTAATTAGTAGCAATTGGAAGTTTGAACGCGGGCGAAGCCACGGTTACTGCTAGTACATCAATAATATCTATTAATTTTGGATAGATACATCTAAAATAAACAAAGCTAAAATTTAATCGAAATTCTATGTATCAAAAAGGTGATAGTTGTTTTTACCCAGAGTGGCATGCGACTGACGTTCCATATTGTATCAGTAGTAGGGGGTTCAATTCTTGTGTAGGACAAACATTCATATCTTTTATACATGCACATCCCGATTTGATAAAGATAAAGTTAGGCATTTCTAAATCTATCAAATCTAAGAACATCACCCAAATATTCTTAGAATATGTATTGATCGATAGATCTTTCTGTGAGGATCTATCGATCAATATATATATATATATATATGAATTAAGCCTCATACAATGTGTTTCTGTTATGTATACGAAAAAAAACACACATTTGATTTATAAAGATTGCTCTTAGTGTGATACATCTAGTTACTATCGTTCTTACAAAAACTTATTAGGGTAAATATGCAACCTATATTTTTATAGGTTTGTCTGTCCGTCCTACTTTTGTAGGACGGACAGACAAACAGCTTAAGGTTAGCAATAGGGCGGAACCCTACTGCGAACTTTCTCTGGACTTTAAGGATAGAACAATAAAAATATGACGAATATAAAAATACCTACCTCTATATTATAAAACTGCCCTTGACATTCGTATAAATAAGGTAGTGCTAACTTAGAGTGCTTATTGACATCAGCGGCTGCGAGCACTGTGCAACCAGTTCGAATACATATCCATACTAGCGATACTATATAATATATTTGTTTTAGTGGAACTCCTGAAAAGCCTATTCTGAAATAATTATCATCATTCATCATCATTATTAAATTAAGATATTGTGATAGTGATTTGATTAATTTATGTTAATTTTATTTTAATTTAAACCTATACATATGTATGTATAATAAAATTGTAACCTAGCCGAATCTGTACATTAAATATTTTGTGGAAAATTTTATTGAAATAGACTTTATTATCGATACAGAGCCAGAATGTATAGTTTTTAGAATTTTTGTCTGTCTGTCTGTTACCGCATCACAAGAAAACCACTGGCTAAATTTTGATGAAATTTGTTATTATGATAGCTGGTTAACCGGGTCAACATGTTGGATACTTTTTACTGCGGGACAATATCTCATCTCTGAGAAATGTATACTAAAAGTTAAAACGTAAGTAGGGACGAACCGAAGCTGAGCGAGGGTGAGTCGTTAGTGTTATTTTTTTTGTCATAATCATACAATTTCTATATCACGTTGCCTAAGTGCTTATTTCTTGAAACCACCAACTTGTTGGAGAGAGTTTTTTACTCTATTTTAATAACAAAGATTTATGTCTAAATTTTATTTATATTATTATTAAAATTCGCTTATTACTGGCATGAATGCTAGGTGCGTCTCTGATTGTCGAAGTATCTTAAATATGATAGCTTTAATTATACTTACGTTATCCCTAGAAAAAGTTGTAAGCAAATGAAATAAAAGTTAAAAAATGTAGATATTAGAACGATGCCGCTTAAAGAATTGTCAATTCGTCGTACCAACATCGCCTGTTTTACATATGCCTCTCGTATTTTACGCCATGTGTTGACTTTTAAGAACTCCATATCCTATAATATAAATGATGATATATAAAATATCCGTATTAAAAATATTTTTGAGTTAAAAAATGAGATGGCGCGATAGTGTGTAAAGTCTAAAATAATAGGTATTTTACATTCAAAATAAAACTTCACCTGAAATATATTAGATACTAGCGGTTCACCCTCGCTTTGCTCGGGTTCGTCGGTAAGTACGTTTTAAATAGATATAAATGGTTATTAGCCAGCGTTAGGCATATAAATATAATTTTTTTTTGTTAATAATATTGACAAATATTGACATTAATATATATCCTCGTACTTCAAGGAATATTCTAAAAAAAGAATTAGCGAAATCGGTTCAGCTGCTCTCGAGATTTGCGCTTACGAACACATTCAGCGATTTATTTTTATATTATAGATAGAAGAATATAGTATAAGAAATAATTAAATTTTAAAACTCTAGCGTTTTCCAATGGCTCCTTTCGTGTAGTTTGTTTATGTATATATCTATATATTTATAAAAGGCAGTAGTAGCTCAGTAGGAATTCGAGTGTAGCGGATTGAAATCCCGGGTCTTGCACCTCTGATATATTTATGTGCGAATCATTTCCAACATGATTACCAGTTGTTTTACGGTGAAGGAAAACATTGTGAGGAAACCTGCGCGTCTAATAGACCTATCATATTTCTTAAGCAAAATATAATATTATGCCATACTCACCGTATTAGAATTTTGTTCCCTATTATTTTTAGCGGCTACAATTTCTACACATCGGTTTAATCTCTTATATCTCGATGTCAGTCCCATACTTATCAGAATTATTATCAAGTCTTGCAAATTCCATATTATAGTTGCTATTATACTCATAAAAAGGAGAGGGACTCCTATCCAGTGTGAGTATTCGACTAAAAAATATTTGAAAATATTTAGTTTTTGAATGCGAACTAATATGCTACTTACGAGTACTTGAGTTTTAATTTTAACTTTCGCGTAAACGTAACATGCTTCAAAGAAATAATACATAATATAAATATTTCGCCATTTATTATAAACAATCATTATTAAAAAAAATTTTATATTCAAAGGTATATTTTCAAAAACTTACATTCTAAAAGCAAAAACCCATGCGACTTCAATATATATTTCCGTAAACACAAAGGCCCAGAACATTGAAAGTCAAATGAGCCCACCATGTCCATTACATGTTCAACTGAAAAAAATAATACCTAATATAAAAAAATAATAATATAGTTTTAACATTATAGGAATATTTAACTAAAAGTCCATACTAAATAAATATTAAGGACATAAATGGTAGAAGTATCGTATTGAATAAGTTTTATGTACTTGTAGGTAACGTAAAAAAATATTAAGTTTAGCTAATGTAATACGTATACGGTGACTTCAACATTATAATTATATATTAAATAGCAGAAGACCAATAAATATTTCTATACTATACGAATTTCAGCCTCATTTACTTAATAGCTAGTGTAGGTAAGGTTATGAGATCAAATCCAGAGGTGGGTTAAAAGTGGTTATTAGGTTTTATATCTAGAACTTCTCAGTAGTCGATGGTGTTACGTCGTCACGCTTCTAACAGCGCGTAAAGCAGTCGGTCTTGCGCAAAATCTTTCTTTCTTAATGTAACTGGCATCATAATATTAACTAGCATTTCCCGTGGCTCTGCTCGCTCGTAGTCTATTAAATATTAATGTATAAGTGTTTCGATTCTAAAAGTCGTAAATCTTAGATAACCTATAACCTTCCTCAAGAATTGTGCTATTATATGCAAAAAAGATATTTCAAATTCGACTGGTAGTTCCAGAGATTAGTACGTTCAAACAAAAAATAAACAAACTCTTCAGTTTATAATAAAATGATATAATAATCAGTATAAATATTAACTTTAAGTATGTTGCCTTATGTGACCCTTTAGGTTATACTCCACTATTTTGGAAATCTAAGTAAGATAAATCGTTGTACCAAGCAAATTATTATTTGCCCGAATTTGCTTTTGTATTTAATATTGTAAGAAAATATTCAAGAAAATAAATTAAGTTCTAGATAGTAAACGTTATTAAAAACGAATAATTTTATTTTAAACTTACGTTTAAACTACTTACGTTTTAACGTTTGGTATGGATTTCTCTGAGTTGAGATATTTTCCTGCAGGAAAAAGTATCCTATATGTTGACCCGGATATCAAGCTATCATCATACCAAATTTTTACAAAATCTTTCCCGTGGAAGACACACAGACAGACAAAAATTCAAAAAACTATAGATTCGGCCTCTGTATCGATAATAATGTCTATTTTAATAAGATTTTCCAAAAAATATTTCATGTACAGATTCGGCTCAGTTAGAATTTTATTATATGTATAGATGAAAATAATATATTTTTATATATGTATTAAACTACTAACTTACATATACTACAAATTGCAACAAAAATTACGACTCTATACATTCGTTTCTTTAATGTTCTATCTGGAAGCATACATTTTATGTTCACTATCCATTCCACTGACGCCCAGTATTTTGATATATCTTCCCAAGAGCTAGATAGCCTCCAACATTGTATCAAACCTAAGATTGACGATGCATAGAATAGTGAGCCGGCAAATCTGGCTGTTACACTTCCTAGAAGTAAAATACTTTATAACAAGGGTACATTGACTTCAAAATATAATACATTTTAAAATATATTCGTGCTTTTACTTAATAATAATAATATTTTCTTAGATTCATCATGGTCACAGGAGCGACTAAGGTTTAAGACGTCTCAAAGGCGTTATATACTTGTTACAGTCAGTGCCTACTCACAAATTTATAAAATGATTTTAAAAATTCAAAAATGGCACCAAACTACCTTAAAATTTGTTGATTTAATTCTAAACATTTTTAACTTTTTATTAAGTATTATAATTAAATACAGCAATATTATTTATTTAATTTTAGCTATTATTGTTATAATATAATAATTAAAAAAAACTTAATTTAATTAATAATATTATTTAATTTAATTTAATAATAATAATGTTTATATTTCTGATGATATAATTGCTTATATTTTTGAAAAATTAAGAGTATTTTTGAACTAAAATCATTTTTTGACTAAATTTTGTTTAGATTCCTATTTGAAATACAAAATATTCCACATATCACAAGTACTTAATAGACATCAATTTTGCTTTTTAGAGTTATTTTATTATATAGTTAAGAGATACTGAAAAAAAACAAACATGCGTTCAAAATAAAATATTTAAGTAACTTACTATGTCCTGCCATATCAATAGCCCAACCAGCTAATGCTGTTACTACTTTCCAAATTGCTTCCCCTTCTATAGCTAAAAGCAAGGATAACAACAGAGAAGCCCATATTTTCCATACAAATGACTCCAGACCCACTATTCCGACCCAACGTGACCAATAAAATATCTTTATCATTGTTTGTAAGAAATCCTGAAACAAAATCTCAATATTATTTGATAAAATTAGAATATTACAAAAATATGATTGCATTTCATAGCCTATTTATTAAGATTGGTTAAACGCATAAATTTTTTAATATTATTGTGGTTGTTTAACGGTGAAGGAAAATATCGTGAGTAAATTTGCATGTCTGAGAGAACCTAATAAATTTTTAAAAAACATGCAAAGTCCGCCAACCCGCACTTGGCCAGCGTGGCGGGTTATGGCCTGATCCCACTCACATTAAGGGGAGGGCCGTCCCCAATAGTGGGACGTTAAAAAGCACTAAATGCATACAAACATATTTACATATGTATGTAAATAAACTACGCGGGAGACACGGGCAAAAACTAGTGCTTATGTTAAAATATCACTATACTACAGGCAGCTGTAAGGCTTATCACATAGCCCGCATGCGTTATCCGGCCTAAATAATTTTCCTATCTTTCGTTTGTTTTGGTAGTTGGTAGTCACCAAAGAAAGATTTTTGATAGAATTACTATAAAGTCCTATTCTTCTATCTGTAATAGGTCAAACAATCTGTTATACGTAAATAATTGCTACGTCAGCGTCCTAAAGCTTAGAGCATAGGGGATTAAGCTTACAAACAGTTATTCTCAAACTAATTCCAACTTTTAAATATGACGAGAGCCCAAGATACATACAATCAGCTTTAAAAGTTTATATATTATGATTATAATTATAATAGAATAATATAGCGTATAGGTAGATATAATTATAGGTCTAGTGATAAAGCTTGAGATCTGTAGGTCCTGGGATTGAGTCCCGGTCGGAGCAAATATCTTTATTGTGATGTCAAGAAAATCTCTATAATAGCCCAGAGAGGGTGTTTTTAGAGAGATGTGGGTGGATTTTAACCCTGTGCCATGCAAAATTGTTGATTTTGTACCTGGTCTTTCATCAATCTTCAATCTCTATCCCATTGGACTTTGAGTGAAAGGTATAGTGAACATTTTTATGCACTATAATATCTTATAGTTAGTTAGTCTCCGTGAGATAGGCTGCCGACGCCGATATTGGTCGAAAAGAAATTATAATAATATAATAATGTGTCGATTGGCATAAAAAAAAACAAAATATCTAAAAAAAATAGTTGGAGTACCAGTTAGAATTGCGTTCGAATCACTGAGGGTTCAGTAAGCACACGGTATATAATTTTAATATTTCTATCAAATTGAATAATATTGTTCAAAACTTCTAGCGCTAGTCCAATTCATACTGGGTCAGTTCTAATTATATGTTGTTTAACTTTGGTGCTTGGACTATAATAGCCTCAATTTTGATACTTGTATTGTTATACCATTTAAAAAAAATGAGAAACAAAAGGAGGCCTATGCAGGCCTCCTAATATTGTTTTTAGAATTACAATTTGTGACGAATATTTTTTTTGCAAATTTCATTCGATTGGTTGCCATTAATTTAGCTTAATCTACATTTCAAATATCTTTAAAAACTATTTAGTATACCTCCAGAATAACATAAGAGGTTGCGCATTCGATCTTTTTTTGTTTGTGTCGATTATTTTTATAATAGACTTGCTAAGAAATACGCAATAAAATATATTAAAAAAAAAATAATTAGCTAAACTAGGATTTCATACTTACATCGAAAAAAGGCTCTTTAGGAAATGTGACATTATATTTTTGAAAATCCCTTCTCAGTTCTAGTTTTTTCATTTTAAAACATTTTTAATACATCAGGTATCTACAAGCTACCAGTTACTTTTGATCTTTAAATAATAATTGTTTAAACCCTCTATTTCCCACAACATAGAATATCACGCTAGCTGCAAATTAATGTTCTTAGTCAACACGACTGTTATTAAAGCGCAGTTATTTGAAAATACTTGCATGTTACATTTTAAAGTCCTTCACATAAAGCGTCTGATACGACAAAATTAAGCCGATAATATCTCTATCCGCTATTCAAGACAAGAGGTAAGAGTAAGGTTAGAAGATTTTGTCAGTTGCTATTATCAAGGCTTGGATGATAATTTCATTTAAATGATGACGATGATGATGTTCTCCTGACCGATTCCGGGCACGGCGGCCAATCTCATTGAGACTAGCCAACGGCGCAGGAGATATTATAGTGCACAAGTGTACGCGCAGACACAAGAGCACTCTCTATTCCTGTCACTCTCATACTCTGGTGGGACGACCACTTGACACGACCAGTGAGAGTTAAGGCGCAGGACCGACGGCTTTACGTACTCTCCGAGACACGGGGGTGAAACACCGCCAACTTACCAACTCCGGGCTGTTACTGAGACTTACTATACAGAAAGACTCAATAACTAAGCTTGGCCCGACCCGGGACTCGAACCCAGGACCTCCGGGTGTGCAGCCGTACATGCTAGCCACTACACCACCGAGGCAGTTAAATCCATTTAAATATCCTGGATTAGAGACCTGAGAAGGTAATTTAATTAAAGAAATAAAAAATTCTTTAAGAAAGCAGCCCGGAACTAAGTTCGTAGTGTGCTATAAGCATCAGAGTACATATAAAGCTGTCTCTTCTATGCGTGATCTCTCTCCAATCGACGACACGCGTTCCATTCTACTGGGCTACGAAAGTGACGGAATATAAAGCCGATATCTGTTTTTATGCACTGTGACATCTCTTGTAAAGATAACTAATTTTAGAGAAATTACCACTAAAATTCGATCTGGGGGACATTATCGGAACCAACACATATAATCTCGAAAATTGGAAAAGTGACAACATCTTCTCTAATGTCTAACTTTGTATGTATATAGCTATTTATTTTATTGAATTTTTGTATAAGCATCGCATTGCACGCCATTGCAATTCCAATGTTTGAAATCGATCACGCGATTCATCGTTTAACTATATTCAATCATACATAGATATTACAAGTTAAACACAATAAATTACATGTTGTTTTGATATTCTGTTGTGTTTTTGAAATTTGTTAATAATGCACCGACTTCAAAGAGGGGGAGGTGCTAGACTCGAATGTATGTTTATTTGTGTGTATGTAAGACGATAGGTACATTTTGACCTGATTATTATGTTGCTTTTTTAATAAATTATAATACATATTTATTAGAGTGGTTCTACATTAAGAAAAATAAATAAGGGCTGCCTAAGCTTGGAATACATGTTATTATATATTAGATATATATATATATATATATATATATATATATATATATTATATATATATATATATATATATATATATATATATTATATATATATATATATATATATATATATATATATATATATATAATATAAAACAATAATATAATATTGCTATATTTAATTATAATATTTTTTTTTAAATGTTTAGAAATAAAAATCAGCAAATATTGTAAGGTACTTTATTGCCAATTTTTGAATTTTTGTAATCATTTTTGTAAAATAGTGGGTGGTGTTTAAGATGACTATAACCTTAGTCTCTCTCGTGGCCATGATTGCTGTAAAGCATTCGTAATGTCGGGAAACAAAAATCAAACTAAATCCGCGAAATAATCCGAAAAGATAGTTTTATTTAAAATGTTAAATATTCGCGTAAATCTAAGAAAGTATTATTATCAAAATAATTTTAAAGGCGCAGTACTTTTTTACTTAAAAATGAATTCAAAGCTTGACGCCGCGTCCGAATGCTTCAACCCGCACATATACCTATAAGCTTATTCGCGAATAAGAAAAATGTCTGAGATGATTGATGGATTGTGCCAAATAGGAAGTGAATGATTGACACATCTAATTAAGATCAGTGAGACTGACAGAAATATTTTCAATTTCATGATAATTTACTGTAATGTTTACACCACAGATATATGAAGTGGTTATAATTATTATGTTAGATTGTAGTGTAGAAGGAGCACCCGCGTGGTTCACACCACCCACCGGAGTGGACCGCTTCCCCTTGCACTTCATAATTATATTTTCGTTCAACGTTTCATTTAATTCTAAAAAAACACAATATTAGATACAAGAACTTCAACTGATCTAATATTTAATACTTTAAATTTATTACATGTCGCGTATATTTGATATTTAAAATTATTATTTTTTTCATGACTACAAAAATACTGTACTCTGCAGTTTTGTGAAAATTCAAATATGTATAAGTGTACAACAGTTTTAGAGATCACAACTTTTAAGGCTTTTTAGAAATTTTGCTCTAGAACAAAATGGCTCCCGTCGTCAATTAATTGTCGTCAATTAAAAAAAAAAACATTTTACTTAATCTCATTGGCTTCTTATTACCTCCAGGTAAATTTCTAGAAAATTAATGAAATTTCTAAGAAATCTTAATTGTTGACTGTAACGCCGGCGTGTCTGTGGTCGTGGAGGGATTAATATTACTTATACTTAATTCAAATATCTTAAATATGCTTAGCGACGTTTTGTTAACACGTTAAAGACATTTTGAGTGTTTTTTATGTTGACTTAGTTTACTAACATAAAACGTAAATAGTAGATTTTATGATAGGTGATTTGTGTTATGGATACCAGATAGCTAGATAGTGTCTACTCGTGAAACTTATGAAAAAATCGACTTAACTATCCCCAATCGAGAATAGATGCAGTCATTGCAGTTTAACTGAATTAAGACCGGCTTTGAAATAATTTATTCCACTATAAGTGTAGAGTTTTAACTTTTATCTTTAAAATATTGCACTAAGTCTGTGAGGTGTTAAAATAAAAACTAGTTCAAAATTGGTATCAATGACAAGCGGATAAAAATTTTGTGGAGACAAAAATTAATTAACTATAAACTTAGACTACTATTACAAATGCATTTTTTTGTCTGTGTGTGTTTGTTTTTTTAAAATATGTTATGACATTAACACACAGCACCATCTAGTTGCATGGTAAGCTACGAGGTTTGTGTTATATATACCAGATAGATGATACACTACACAAATATAACTTTAAATACATACATATTATATTTATATAAAATGTATGTATTTAAAGACAATAATTTAAAGATATATAATTAATTAATCACATGAGCAAAAACTAAAGCTTTTATTTGAGCCAAATATGGTATTTAACAAGTTAACATATTCCACTCTATAGTTATTTATTTATACAAAACACTCTTTCGTTGATTGAATTTCTGAAATCACGCTATTTCGATTTATATTGTGGGAATAGTGAGAAAATAAATTGCCAGTATTTTAACAATATCCAATTGCGAAACGAAAAAATAAACTGATGTTTCGTTCAGGATTGTATAATTCATTGGCAGAGTTGTTTTAAATAATTATTTTACAGAAAAATTTACTGAACCTCTTCGATGTAATTCTGCTTATGTTTCGAAACATAAATTTATACATTATTGTATAAAATTTCTATTAAAAAAATATTCTTCACATATTTTTATAATGCAACATAAATTTTACATGTATATTATTTGTACATATATTTTTTTTTTTGGATATCAAAAATTTTCTTTCATTCACATCATAATTTAATTATATCATCTTGCACTTCACAATAAGCGAGTCCAATAAAACTGTAAAAAAATCTGTAAAAAATCCCTATTAAAATAATGATAATTACTTACTATGTGTTTTATTCGTCAAAAAGGCTTTTTCTAAAATTATTTGGACGAAATTTATATGGATTTGAGGTGTAAAAATATAGGAAATATTTTTTTAAAATAAATATGTTACATGTTGGGACATTAACACACATCACCATCCACCATCTTACATATAATTCCATAATAAGCTACGAGGCTTGTGCTATGGATACAGATAGTTGATACACTACACATATATAATTTTTAATACATACATATTATAAATATAAACACCCATGATTGGAGTAGGTAAAAATATTCGTGCTCATTACACAAATGAACGCCCCTAGCGGGTTTCGAACCCGCGAACGCTGGCGTATCAAGTAGGGTGACTACAAACTGAGCCAAACGTGTCGTCGAAAATATTTTCTGTTATTATTTTAAGTCACCATTGTTATATTAAAGAAAGAAAAAAAATCATCTATTGAATTCCGGACAACAGCAGATATTATCTTGTGATATAGGTACATATTTTTCCAAATACAATATTTAATCTGCAAAGATCTCTGAAAGCTCTCAACGACGGCTAGTAACTGCAGCTAGGGCTGCGTTTTCAATCATATTTCCACGCCATATTAAAAGGAAAAAAATCTGCTTCATAGGCGAATTTTGATGTTTTTCAAACTTTATTATGGTAGCTTGATATTTATGGGAAACTAGCAGAATCCGCGGCTTTGCTCGCGCTTAAAATCTGATATGCGTATTGTTTTCTTTATTATTTTAATATAGGTAGGTTTCATAAAAACTTTCATCCCCTATTTTACCCCCTCATGGGATAAATTTTGAAAAATGCTAAAGCACGTACTTATTGTACAGTTTCAAGTAATTGAGATCATAAATATTTTTTTGGGTTGTATTATAACGAGTTTTTCTCTGGGAATAAGACAATCCCCGCAGTAAAAAGGAGCCTACATCACTTTCCAGCCCTCCAACAATCTCTGTACAAATATGATGACAAATAAAATTACGGCAATCCTCCACCCCATTTTGACGTGAAAGAAGGACAAACAAACAAACACACTCACTTTCACATTTATAATATTAGTAAGTATATTAGTATGAATGTATGACACATATAGCATATTTTATAGGTTAGCGTACTTAATAAATTTAATGCTATAGCCATGTGTAAAATCAGTCATAAACAAATTTATTTTTACAACCCACAAAAACTGGAGCGATGCGAGATGCGCGATTGTAGATGCTAGAAAGTATATGTAATAATACAGGAAGTATTGCGGCGATAAGCAAGTAAATAAATTATCAAAAAATAGGATAAGTGCAAGTATATTTGCACACTGAGGGTTCCTTACCAAATAGCACATATTGTTTTACTGAAATAAAAATGAGAAGTATTTGTTAGGATTGAATTAAATTAAAATATTATTATAAATAAATTTTATGAAACATAAAAAAAATAATCTTAAAATAAATATATATATATATATATTAGTTACACCATCTCAACTCAAGAAAGGCTGGACCAATTTTTATGACATTAGATTTTTTGGATTTCTCTTAGTCCGGAATAGGATAATAAGTATTAAAGCATCAGAAAAATTAAGGAAAAAAAAATTATATGGCTAACACTGGCTTATAACTATTTATATCTATTTGAAACATACCTAGCGACAAACCCGAGCGATATATATATATATATATATATATATATATATATATATATATTTTAAGATATAAACAAAATTTTCTAGTCGTTAAAGGCGCAAATGTTAGGCATGTATGAACGCACCCGAGCAAAGTGAGTGTAAGATACTTATTATGCTTATACATATATTTCAACTATTCATTAAAATGTTACAAACAGATTTTTCTTTTTCGGTAAAAAGCAATTCTATGGCTACAAAAACGTTTATCTAACACTGCGGAAAACTTACATACTTAATTGAATTTCTAGATCCCGATATTGCTGGATCAAGAATAGTTAGAAAATCTTGTACTGAAATTTAAATTTTTTTCCACTTTTATCTAGGAAATGCATAGTTGCTTTTTGTAGATCTAGACTTTAATTGAAAAGTTCGTTTATTAGTTTGTACGAAAGTTTTATTTTGCATTTTATTTTTAGTAGAAGTCTTTCTCTGTAGCTTTTCTCATTAGACACAATGGGCAAAATGGCCGTCCATTTTACAGGTATTATATTTGATTTCTTTGATTTTCCTTTACATACATAAAATAATACTAATGTCCTGCTGTAAAATTTCGATCTCGGCGGCAAATCTCACTGAACTAGCTATCTGCGCAGGAGATATTAAAGTGCCCAAGTGTGTGCGCAGACACAAGTACATTCTCTGTCGCTCATACTCCAGTGGGATAGTTCGACACTTATTGATAGAAAACCCCAATATTTATATATCTTAGCTCGCCTTAAGACTCGAACATACGACCTCTAGATTTACAACTATACTGTATACACGCTAGCCACTAAATAAATGAGGCACAAAATAGTAAGCAGATAATATTTTATTGGAAAAAACAATATATTTTTAATTTTCTTTATTTTTTGTTCCCCTCGAGTTCTACGCTAAGCGCGGTAGCTGTTTGTAAATTGATGTAGGCTCTTAAGAAGTGAATTTAAATTGGAGGCTCAGAAGGTCTTTAGAAATATAACAAAATAGAATATTTATATCACGAAATATAAATAAAATAAAAAGTTTTATGCCTGTTACTTTTATATTATGTAAGAAATACGTACATTTACAGCTGTTGTATATTTTTATACCAATAAAACACTTTTATTGCACAAAAACAGTGCTAAAAAAGAAAAAAAAATCGTACAGCTGTTCGATATATCATATTAAATTAAATGCACAAATTGCAGAATAAATTGTGCAATATAATTACGCGAAATGGACTACACTGATTAGATTCTCCCTTAATGGCTTTCTGCAAAGCTGTTAGTAATAATTCAAAGCTATTACCTCCGAGATGATCAAACGTTCAAACAGGGCCTAGACATGCTTTCAATAATCTTTTAAGCTCTAATAAAGCTAAAAATTGTATAGTATAAATTATATATTTATTGTGTTACTAGCAACTCATCTTCACTTCGTTTGGGTTCGTCCCTAGGTATGTTTTAACGGTAAATATAGGTGGATGGATAGACTATATAGTATATGATATATAGCCTATATAGTATATGATATATAATTTTTCTCAATAAACGGGCTATCTAACGCAAAAAGAATTTTTCAAATCGGATTAGTAGTTCCTGAGATTAGCGCGTTCAAACAAACAAACTTTGCCTCTTTATAATATTAGTATAGATAACAATTTATTGAGCATGCGTTCCCATATATTTTAGTAAGCACAAGGTATACGTTGT